TCGGCCAATCAAATTTTCTTTTTTGTGTAATCTGATCGACGAAAATCATTACCAATTATAAGAATGTCTACCATGCTCATTTCTATAATATTCTCTACAAAAAAAAAATTATTTTAATTACTCTTAAAGAAGTAGGCTATGAAGTGAAAGATTTGCTAAAATAAATTAAAAAAAAACTGATGCCAAGAATTAAATTGATACTCACTTTTCAATGAAACTTTAAATCTTCCAAATCATCCTTTGTGATTTCATGTTGAGTGCAAATTTTCACAGATTTTACAAAGTTACTCCAACCTTTTATATGACTGTAATAAATACAACTTTAGTAAAATTTAATATTAAAGATAATAACAAAATAAATTTATACCTACACATTATTAAATAAATCTTTTAATATTGGCAAAGAAAAAAAAAGAATCCAATTTCTCCACTCAACTGCTTTAAACCCAGAATTGTATTTATATATATCCCTTGGTGGTCTACTAATACTTGAAGGCATTTCCACTCTGGATAATTTTAGCTTTTCTCCAATTTCTACCTATTTTTCTTTTTCAATGACATAATCATCTACAATATTAGTCTTTAAAAAATGTATTATTACAATGGGAATACATTAAAGGTGCCATGTTTTCAAAAAATAAGTGCATGATGTCAATTGGAGATGACCATGGGAAAATAATTGTTTTCAAAATGATGCTGTAGTTTTTCATCCCTAAATAATATTTGATAAATTAATTTCATTTAAAATGGAAAAAATAACATTTAGAATATAAATTACTGACCATATTTTCCAATTAAAAATTTTTTTTCTTGTTTTGATTCTTGATTATTATTAATATTTATTGCAAATTCATTAATTTCCTGATGAGTCCTTAATTGAAAATCGAAATTGTTCTTACAAGGATAATAGATATGTTTATTCGAAGGGTGAGAAGTTCCTTCTATGTGGCAAAATCTACAACCTTTGTAAGAGTTATGTCCAGTCAGATTTAAAATTTTTGGTATTGCGGGAATGTCACCTGACCACGAAATTAAGTGAGCCTTTAAAATAAAATATTCTTTTTCATAACCATCATAACATGGGACACCTTTTACAAAATAAAGAATTTTTTAATTAAAAAGTATGTATTTGACATTATAATAATGATTTGAAGTAAGTATACCTTCAAGTTCTTTCAACTCATTTATTAAAGGAGATAAGAAGGAATTCATATCTTTTGGTGATTTAGGTCCTGGTATTATCATTGATAATAAGAGGTTTTTTACTCAAATTTGAGGGCTTAATTATTATTTATAAATAAAATTGCCAGCAATCATTTGTTTTTTGTTTAAATATCTGAAACCCATAGTCCATCATACACTGGGGTGTGAGATGCCCTAATTAAATCAAAATTAGGTGATGTAACATAATGCCGATCAATAACAAACTTTTTTTT